GGGGGGACTAGCAATGCAGGCTGTATGGAGCCCCATGATTTCTAATGGTGGCCTTTCAACCCATTACACAACCACCTTGTCTGTGGGATTTGTTGCTTGTAAACTAACCCATTCTAGCACTCATTTGATTGGTGTGTCCTTATTTGGGGTCATTGACTTTGGTGTGTCCTTATTTGGGGACGTTGGTGTGTCCTTATTGGGGGATTTGTTAATTGTTAATTTCGGCCGTTATTTCATTGATATCGCTTGTTATATAGTTGCTGTGTAAAGGTAGTCAATTCACAAAACTCAATAACGCTTCTTTTTTTTAACTACTTGCCGTCCATGGCCGTTCCTGTGACCTTACATCACACTCCCCATTCATCTTCCCCATGCTTTTTTTTTCACTATGGCGTGACTCCATAACATATGTTATACAATACATGCATACAACAATATCAATGACCTTCACCATGCTCTATGTGCCTAGATTCCCTGCCCAATGCATCTGGTTTAAAATTGGGGTTTTACTTTTATGTTCATGTCGCTGCACAACACAATTACAAGAGCGTTGGTCTCCTGTCATGCACGGCTCATCATGGTTTATTTGCACACAGACCTTTAGTGATGCCTGACTTTTTGTCTCAAGGGTTATTCTCTGGATATGCCAAGAATAGGTTTCCTTTATAGGAACATAGCAGACATGGCCACTGTACACTTTTGCTTTTATGTCTTATTTCTAGGTTCCTTGGTATCGTTAGTCTGTGCTTCCACACACCAGGGATCATGATATGTCCCTGTGCTTTTACTTATGACTTCCGCTTTTTTGGGGATACAAGTTCAAAATGTATTTTAATGTTGGCTTGTTCCCTTCCGTTGGGGTGGCGAGTCCGCCATGACTTTGGAACAGCCTGTTTCCGTCAATAGCGTCCCGCCACAACCATGGTTACCGGTGACCTGGTTGGTTCCACACCCCTCTGGGTGCGTGCTGCCAATCCCGGCTTGCATCATGACAGTGCAACCCTTGCCCCCCTGTGTCCTGGATGATGTGGACGTGACCGGAGGCGTGTCTGAGATGCTGACTGCAGTGGGCCACTCCTCTGTCATTAACAAACTGCTGTTTCTGACATGTGCAGTTGTCTAGCTGCACATGTTTATATGGACTTCTACCATGTGATTTTTATTGTAACCCTTCTTTACGAGGATTTTGATTTATACTCTGTCTAGTATGCTATTATTAAATTTTCTGCCTTATATAATGGAGGGGTCCTGGGGTCACGTGTGCCACCCGCAGCATTTCCCTATACACACACTACACACACTACACAGTAATAAAGTATTAAAATGAACTAGGGTCAGACTAATTCAGCACGTTATTAATCTGAGTTGCCCCTCTCAATATGGCCGCAAGTGGCAGACATATTGAGTGGGGCAACTCAGATTAATAACCTGCTTAATTAGTCTGACCCTAGTTCATTTTAATACTTTATTGCTGTGTAGTGTGTGTATAGGGAAATGACGTGGGTGGCGCACGTGCAGTACAGCCTTCTCTGCCAAACCTCTTACTTCTAAGTAAACCGGAAGTCAGATGGTTGGAGATCTCGAGGAGTTGGAGGTTTCGATAGACCACTGGTGTCTCTATATATCCTATTTACCCAACGTGTCCCTGTCTTTTATATTTTGCCAAAAAATTGGGGTGATAATAAATGTTTCATAACATTTCATAGGGAAACAAGTTTTTTTTCATAATTTAGGGTACTTTTTTTGTTATTTAGTAAAAAATAAAAACCCCAGCGGTGATTAAATACCACCAAAAGAAAGCTCTATCTGTCCCCCAAAAATTTTATAGAATTAATTTCAGTACAGCGTTGCATGACGGAATAAACGTCAGTCAAAGTACTGCAGCGCTGAATACTGGAAAATGGCCTGGCCAGGAAGGGGGTGTAAACACCTGGTCTTCATGTGATTAAGAAGTAGTAAATTAACTATTCAGGTTATAAAGTTATTTGAGCAGGATCAGAAGCCCATGTACTTACTAAGGCCCCATTAACACTTAAGAGTGAGCGTTGCCAGGCGAACTAGGGGCTTTTTTGCTACAAAAATTTGCTGATTAAAGCACAACATATGTGAGAAAATATTTTATGTTATAACAAGCATAGTAATATAGTCTTCTACAGGAAGTGGTTCTAAAAGATACAGAAGGTATCAATAATGGGTTAGATGCTTTCCTAAAAGGGTTACTTAGGCTCCTTTCACACTGTCCGATGAGGAGGGGATCCGTGCATGGATCCCCTCCTGTTTGGAATGGATCTCACCGTATTACATCTGTGTCAATGCAATTTTTCCTCCATCCCTAATATTATTATTATTATTCATGATTTATATAGCGCTTACAGTTTTTGCAACGCTTTACAAAATGGACGGAGACAGTACAGTTACAATACAATTCCAATGTAGAAAGGTTAGGGGGGCCCTACTCGTGAGAGCTTACAATCTAGTAGGAGTGGATAATTATACTAAAGGCAATAATTGTGTGGGATGAGTTAATGGAAGAAGTAAAAGGACAGTTATTATGTTGAGCTGGGATAGGCTTCCCTGAGGAGATGGGTTTTCAAGGATTGCCTAAAGGAGGACAGAGTAGGAGATAAGCAGACAGGTATGGCTAGCTTTAGCCAATTCTATGGTCTGGGAAAGAGCTTTCCATCTCCAACACACACACGGTACATATTATAGTGAGAAGAATATATTGCACAACAAAGGTTACCAGTGAAGTCTTCCAATTACTTACACCTGGCGGTTCTCTTTGCAATACATGCAGTGCAGTAGCTGAGTTGACACTGAGGTGAAGCCACACACTCTGTGTGAGAAGAAGCTTATCGGTAATGCTGACTGAGGTTGATGATTCTCTTAGAGATGGGGAACAGGGGGTTTCTTTATTTGGGTAATCATAGACAGGTTCTGTCGTGCTGGAAAGACAAGCATAAATAATTGGGCATTAGTGTGTATTTTTCATTGACCGAACAAGAAATGTACCCAACATTGGCTCCTGTCCCGAGCAAGACTAACTTTTTCACATTCACTCTATATATCACAGTGGGTTTTGCACATTTTCAAAAAAGATTCTTGCATTATTAAACAAGATTTTACCTGCCCACAATTGCATTAAACACGATTCTCCCATGTGAAAATGTAATCAACCATGCTTTGTCCAACATCTGTTCTTTAATGGCAAAATGCTTTACTGTACTATTCATCCTATTTATTACTCAGTATATGTGTAAGAAATGTAGCAAATGTAGTACGCGCCTGTTGTCTATGATTTCATATTCAGTATGCACTTGCATAATAGCAGGTCCATATTAGGGACTGTATCGAACGGCTTTGGGTTCATGTCTATGGAATCAGTTTGGGACACCTTGTGAGAACATTTAGAATTCATTGATAGGTACTCTTAGCCTGCAGTTGACCTCCTTCTGACCTGCATTTGATGTACTTTAAACAGGTTTTGCATTGCCATAGACTTAATGCAAACAAAAGCCCATTGACACAGGCCAGTATACTAGAGCTGCACTGACAATTATTAGCCCAATTATACTACTAAAATCTTATGAGGACAATTTCTTTAATTGTATCACATTGCTTTTAATGTCGGTTGTTACATAAGAGATTTTCAGTAGTATGATTGAGTAATTGATCTCCCACGCTTACAAAATAACACAATTTAATCACATAACAGAAACTATTAGTTCATCTCCTCACTTCTTCTCCATAGACTTGAATGGGAACAGGAAATAAATCTTTTCAACAATTTCTCATTTAGCAGATTCTTGGGTGATTTGTCACATTTAGGAAACTATCATAAAACTAATCTCCAAACAATCGCCCAACTTTTTTTTAGTCTGTGAGAATAAAAATCGGCCATGTAGGTCTAAGTTGGCCATACACTAGGTGGTTTTTCTCATTCAGCCCCACAAGCTCAACAAGAAAAAAAAACTTGATTCCTTCATCTACCCATAACAGCATGGATGAGAGAATCTCCTCTCTCGGCTATTGTATTCTGACAGCAGTGGGTGTGCCGCTGTCAGAATACCTGAACAGTCACTGTTCGGCTGAGAATTTTGGGACCGGCTCCTGCGGCATAAGTCGAGTGAAAAACAGAAGGGTGCCAACTGGGCAACACATTGCTGCTGATGGTCACGACAGCAGAAAATCAACCAGTGTATGGCCAGCTTTAGACACAGCAGCTATGACAGAGAAATTGCAGTAAACATCAATCAATCTGGCGCATTCATATCTCTTAGCATGCTGTGAAATTTAGTATGGAAAATTCAGCATGCATGAATTTTACAATGCATTTTGTGACCTATGCACACGTAGTGTGGGCAGTAAAACTAATGAGCAGAAGATAGAGATACAGTAATATCTTGGTTTACGAGTAACTTGGTTTGCAAGTGTTCCGCAAGACGAGCAAACATTTCTGAAAAATGTTGCCTTGATATACGAGCGTTGTCTTGCAATACGAGTAGGACATGATGCTGGACGTGACGCCGATCACAGGGATTGTGGGTGATCATCTCAGTCAACTGTCCATGCAAGTGTATACTGTACAATGGCCCCCAAGCAGAAAAAGGCTGAAAAGAAAGGCGGTAAGAAGGAGATGATTACGGTGGCAGTTAAGAAGGAAATCATTGAAGTACGAACGAGGTATACGAGTGACCGAAATTGCAAGATTTTATAAGAAGTCTACGTCGACCATTTGCACAATATTAAAGAAGAAATAAGGGGGGTAGATGCAGCAAAAGGAGTCACAAGAATATCAAAGCAGCGGCCACGTGTTCTGGAAGATTTAGAAAAGTTGCTTCTGGTTTGGATAAATGAAAAGCAACTAGCAACTGTGAGTGAGAACATTATCTGTGAGAAGGCAAAGGCCTTGTACACCGACCTTAAAAGTAAACTGCCAGGTCCAGGTACGTTGACAGAAAACGAAGAACTCTTCAAGGCAAGTAGGGGATGGTTTGATAATTTTAAGAGGAGAAGTGGCATCCATAGTGTTGTGAGGCACGGAGTGGCTGCGAGTTCGGACACTAAGGCAGCTGAGGCGTTCGCTACCAAGTTCCAGAAGCTCATGGTTTCTGAGGGTTAGTTGGCGGAGCAAGTTTTTAACTGCGATGAGACAGGACTTTTTTGGAAAAAGATGCCAAAAAGGACTTAAAGTACAGAAGAAGAGAATGCAATGCCTGGTCACAAGCCTATGAAAGACCGTCTTACCTTCTTGTTTTGTGCTAATGCAAGCGGGGATTTCAAAGTCAAGCCCCTGCTCGTGTATCACGAGAATCCACGAGCCTTCAAGAAATGCAAGGTGCAGAAGAGCCAGTTATATGTTATGTGGAGGTCCAACAGCAAGAATTGGGTCATTCGTACCTTGTTCGTTGAATGGATCAATGAGGTCTTCGGTCCTTCAGTGAAGAAATACCTTTTAGAAAAGAATCAAAGCATTGCTGGTTATGGATAATGCTCCTGCTCATCCTCCAGGCCTTGAAGACGACTTACTGGATGAATTTGAGTTCTTTAGGGTTAAGTTCCTTCCTCCCAACACCACTCCAATCCTCCAGCCAATGGATCAACAAGTAGTTTCCAACTTTAAAAAGCTTAACACTAAAGCACTATTTCAGCGATGCTTCGAGGTGACCGAAGGAACAAACCTTACCCTCTGAGAGTTTTGGAAAAATCATTTTCACATCGTGAACTGCCTCAAGATTATCAATAAAGCCTGGGATGGGGTCACCAAGAGAACCCTCAGTTCTGCTTGGAGAAAACTGTGGCCTGATTGCGTTTTTGGAAATGGATTAGAGGGGCCTGCTTATGAACAGGAGTCGCCAGTTGTCGATGAAATTGTGTCCTTGGGGAAGACCATGGCACTGGAGGTGAATGAGAACGACATTCAAGAGCTGGTGGAGGAACATGGCCAGGAGCTGAACACAGATGCATCTGCAACGCGAGCAACAGCAAGAGGTTATGGAGGAGATCTCATCTGCAGAGAAGGAGGAGAATAAGGTGGAGGAATCCCTCACTTCAAATAAGATTAGGGAGATGTATACATTTGGGAAACAGTATAAATTTTTGTAGAAAAGCACGACCCAAATAAGGCTGTAGCAGTGCGAGCAATGAATCTGTTTAATGACAATGCAATGTCACATTTCCGCAAAATCCTCAAAAGGAGGCAAAAGCATTGGATAGATTCCTTGTTAAAGTTACACGAAATGAAAAAGATTCCATTGAGCCAAGAGATAGCCGTGATTCCGTTAGTGATAGTGAAAGTCGTCCTACACAATAATCCTCCTCTCTCTTGTCCCTCTCACACCAGCCACCAGGTACAGTACCTGTAATTGTTTTATTTTTCTTTATTTTTTGTACAGTATTATATTACAGTACAGTATTGTAATAATTGTATATGAATATTTTTGGGTTTGTGAAACGAATTATCTGAATTTCCATTATTTCCTAAGGGGAAATTCGCTTTGATTTACAAGCGCTTTGGATTACAAGCGTGCTTCTGGAACGAATTATGCTCGTAAACCAAGGTATTACTGTATGTAAAAACATGCAAAAACAGACAAAAACAAGCAAAACACGTGCAGAAAAACACAGCAAAACACAACAAAGCATGTTAAAAACGTAAATCAACGCACAGACACATATGCCAGCATCTGCTTTAAAACCATACAAAACTGCATTTACAGTCACACAACGTCGTGTCAATCCAGCATCCTGGATAACACATGCAGAATAGGCTATCACAAATCTTTTGACAAATGAGAGGCAGTTGAATTTGCATTAAAGGGGTGTCTGATCAATATTTTCTTGACTAAACCCCTCTGTATAATAAGCACAACTAAACTGTTAATGAACAATCATCGTTAGAGCTAAAACGAATGTAATGCTTTGACTAATACAATATTAATGTACTTGAATTTAGCGTGCTTGCTGTAGAAAGCCCTAGCCATGATGACAATGCTGAATATCTGGAATCTAAAAGAAAAGATGTTTTTGGATAAATACCTTGTCATGCTGTGTTCTGATACAGTTTCCATGCCAGGAATTCCAGTTTGCTTCCACCTTCGTGCGAGATGCTTGATCTGAATTTGGGAACAGGATTACAGTGTCACGTTGCTATTAAACCAGGAAAGATTATTACTCATGGTTGAACTTTGGCAGAACACAGAAATACAGCACTGGATGTGTAGTGGAATGTGCTGGTTTATTGACACTAAAGAACTTTTCTTTCAAGTATTCCTTGTTTAAAATGCAATATAGCCATTTCAGCTTTAAAGGAAAGTGACTTGTCTATAACATTTAGTGTTGTAGTTAGTGTTGTAGTTATAAATTGCAAGTTCTTTGGGAAAGTGTCCTCTCTCTTAGGACACCTGGTTTCTGTGTAGGTTTATGAATTATCTATCTTGTCAATTGGGAGTTTACAGTGTGAGGATACAGGATTTCATATCATTGCCATACATAATAGGTTATGAAAATAGGTTAAGAAAGTAATATCTACACTTACCTTGGTTCTCCCTTGGGATATAGACTGCGGAATCTGTCTCACCCTCTATTCCAACCCCTATGGGCGTTCCCACAGTGACTAACCCTTAGGGTGTTGCAAGGTATATACGCAGCTCCTTCAATCATTATTTCCACGAGCCCTCCCCTTCTTGCCTTTCACTGTATCTCGAGTCCTGTCAGCTCTTCCCACATGCCTGCTCTGTAGAGACTTGTGAAATAAAACAAGCTTCATAGATTCCAGGAGGGAACAGCTAGGGGCTCACAGACTTAGCACCCAATAAAATATTACTTACTGTATGTATCTGTGTAGACAACTGTAACCTTTATTTAGCATTGTCATTTTTGTGAGGAAGGGGTCAGCAACGTTTTCAACATTAAGAGTCAATTTACAAGCATTAGACTGGCATGCCAGTGAACATTAGTGCGCTATATCGAAGGAGCTCCAATTCCTGCATCTTCAGACCTCATATGAGCCCCAATTCCTGCATCTCCAGACCTCAGATCAGCCCTAATTCCTGCATCTTCAGACCAGATCAGCCCCAATTCCAGCACCTTCAGACTCCAGATCAGTCCCTCCTGCATCTTCCCCGCAGGGACTCCACCCTCCCCTCTCCGATCCTCAAGCGCTGAGTGGAGGAACGAACGGGGGAGGGCACAGCTGGCTCTGCCTATCTAGATCCAGCTGAGTGGATCTCGACAGTATTGTCGGGCTCTGTCCCAGCTGCGGCGCTCTCAGTATATCACAGGCAATAGCCCACGATATACTGAGCTTTGGGTCACCGGAGGAGGTTAGTATATGTCCTCCCGTGACCCTAAAGAGAACTATGGAGAAAAACACTTACCCCATAGTTCTCTTTTACGTTACCTATCCCTATTGTAAGGCAAACATTAGATACAGACTCATTGTATAAACAGATATCACTGTGCCACATGCGGTTTGTAAAGTGCTTTATTCCTTACAATTTAAAATATGTAGCATATCGAATTGGTCTTATTTCAGATTTCAACATATTTTAAGTAAGCCTATTATAATAGAAACATGGGGACTGCTATTGCTGACCTCTTTTTGAAAATGCCTGTTTTCTACCTATCTCTCACTGACAGAAACAAGTATGCAGATCTAGGGGCGTCCTGAGGCATGGTGTCACCCGGGGAGGCACCTCTGGGTGACACCCTGCCGTGACTTCATTACCTGCCAGGGGCCATCTTGGTGATGGACGCTGGCAGAGGAGGGGACGTTTCCCCCCGCGGGATAAGGTATGCCGCCGAGTCCCCTCCTCTCTCGTGCAACTGTCGGGCTCTTGGTCCATGACGAAGTGCCTGACTTTTCAGAGGGGGTAACACCAAAATGGCTGTCAGTCATTTTGGTGTCACCCCTCCAATGGTGTCACCCGGGTGCGGGCTGCAACCCCCTAGTGACGCCACTGCAGTTCAGAAAAGTCAGGGAAAATACCTTATACCATTAGCCTAGTAACTGCACAACGGATGTCTGGATTTTTTAACAGTGACTACATCTGATACAACAGGAGTGCGTCCATTGCTTAAATACATTGTGCTGAAAGGGGTCCTTCTTAATCATCTCAGAAAGTTTGGGAGGTATGCTCATGCAAACATACAGTACGTTAGGCATTTAATAAAAAAGTAGAGTGTGCATACTTCTTTGTCAATGGAGCACATTTATAAACTGGACCAACAAAAACAAAGAAAAAAAAGAATCTAATGTCTATAGCAACCAATTAGGCTCCAGCTAGAAGAATCAAGAAATTGATTGATTGTCATGAAGAAAAAGCTCCATCTAGTTTTCATAGTTTTCATAAATAAGCTTCACACAGTGGTGTCCAGAGCATATCAATTACATAAACAGTTTCAAAGATGTTAATACCACGAAAGCTAGGTCCATTTACATAGTTAGGGTGGTCTTTATTGAAGCCAGTAAAGCACATTTAGGACATCTCTATCCTGTGGTCATTGTGCTCTCAGCTCACAGTACAAATGCTGCTTAGTAACCTCGCTGATAAACCCAAAGTGTATCCATGTGCACAGAGGATGCATGGTGACATCAGGGACATGTAACAGCTTACTTCATGAAAAACCTGTATAGCATGTTTGTGTCGGAGAAGCCTAAGTGTACTGCATAATCTATTAGAACACCAAAAGTTATTTTTTTTACAGCGGTAATATATTCTGCAGTGAGGTATAATCACAGAGTAATAACATAAAGAGACAATGATGACTGTAAAGTAGTCTGAAAAGAATATACATTCATAGCGTAAATGATCTGTTACTCTGAGATAGAGTAATGGATAAAGAGATAACTTTTAAGAGGTTCTGAGACAGATTGAGCCCCTAACACTTTAGTATACTCATATGTATCAGTACAAGGGTGATTAATATCTGGGTCAGCATAGATTAATTCCCCCTTATCAAACAGCTGCCAGCTGGAGCCATGGTGATTATTTGGTACAAATGGATTACAGAGGGACAGAGGAAAGGGGAAAACAATGAGACTCAGGCCATAAGGGAGTAGGAAAACAAAAATATATATATATATATGGACATACGGAAAGATATTGAGATACTTAGTTGTCATTTCAGGACTCAGAGTGAATCAGAACTTATTCTACAGAGCCATAAATATAATTTTGTCAAGGATAGTCGTAAAACCACAATGGCATATAAATGTACAGTTCCAATGTTATGTTTCAATAATAGAAAAAAACATGCATCATTCTATCAGCTAGGTAGCAAAATGGGGCACTAATTTTGCCACTTAGAAAACTGTTCAAATAGTTTGCACCTATGAAGCATCTACCATGTCCACAGACATTAGATCAATGCATTTTAGTCTAACCACTTTCAAATTGGTCAGGAAAGGATTAAATGAATTCCAGATGATACTTTCATTCAAAGCTTATTGGTGGAGCAGCAATGGGTCAGCTCAGAAAATCTTGTCTGATCTACCGTATATTGTTTTCCATGAAGAGTTGAAGGGCAGCACTTGTTGCAGGGGTGGACCAATAATATTGATAAGAGAGAGGGAACATTACTGAAACAACTCCATAGACCGCCAAAAAAGGGGACCTTTCCCTTATTGGTTGGAGTGGCAGAGTAGCAAAAAAAAAAAAGGTAATTTTATGTGGCTGAGGAGGGTTTAATGAAAGTAAAGCTGTTTTGCTCTGTATGGGAAAAACACAGATTAACTTTAAAGCTAGTCACACATAAACTTTGCTGAGATCTAACAAATCGGCGTGTTATGTAATACAGAGGTCTCCATAATATAAGAAACATTTCAATGATTTATATACGTAATATAAATTGAAGGGGTTTTAAAAGGAGGCTCTACTACTACATAGATGTCAGCAAATCTTAAAGAAGAAACCCCAGGGAATTGTTTTTTTTATTAACCCTTGCAGTGGGGCTACCTTTGCAAGGGTTAACTGCTTGATTTTGTCTAGTTAACAAAAAAGTTATACTCACCTGATGCTCTGAGCCGGCTTGTTCTTAGACTGGTCCCTAACGCTCTCCCCTCCTCTGCAGTGGTCTAAGGTTCCGTAAATCACCACGTTCTATACACTGTGTATAGACATGGGGATGCTGAGGAACATTCCAGTGTTGCAGTGGAGGAAGAGAGAGGCTGGAGGAAGCACTGTGACAACTGGCCGGCTTGGAGCATCGGGTGAGTAAAACTTATTTTTTGACCTAGACAAAAACGAGCACATAACCCTTATAGGGTGAGGGTAGCCCCAATTCAAAGGTTAAGAAAAAGTTTTCCTGGAGTTCTTCTTTTAAACAGACTGTCACTGAAAACAAAAATAAAAAACTGCTGCAGGTACCATCTTTTACAAAACCCAATGTTAATAAATATATACAGTCACTGTCCCTTTTTAATGGCAATGTCGAACTGCAAAATACATTTAACTTCATCTCAGCTCCAACCTCCTATATGAGGGTGGTTACATTTACTCTTCATTGTCCCACCCTCCATGGTGTGCTGCCAAGATGGACTATAGTAATATGTGTCGACATCCTGATAGTTTTGAAGCTTGTCTGCCCCTTCTTCGCTCCTGCACATTGCTACTGGCCAGTAAGCCAGTCCATCATATAGATAGGCCGATAGGAATGTGAGTGGGGCAGAAGGTAGCAGCTAGCACGTTGGGGATTTAAATGTTAGAACTGCCTGGATCTCGGGTGTATTAGCAGGGGGTTAAGGATGGCCGCATTTGCACACTTTATTTTTGCAGAAGTTTTTGTCATTTAGGTATGGTGCAATTGGATTGTGATGTGTGTGTGGTCAGTTTAGGTACACTGTACAGAACAGTTGAGACACCCTCTAGAGATCAGTCAGATGGTACAGGACATACATCTGACTGGCCATTCCCGGTTCTTCTCAGATGTGAATCTATTGTAAAATGTCTATATGAAACCTTATATGACTGCCAATGGTGGTGTCTGTTTACACCTCTCCAAATTACATTTCTTTCTTTCTTTGCTTTTTGTCACTGAGATTACACTGTGTATGTCATCTCAGTAAACAGAAAAAAACTGAGCCACAGTTTATCATTAATACAGTTTATATGTCACTATCATTTGTTTCATACAGAATGATTATAATGTATGATATTATTTTTGCTTCCCCCCCCCCCCCCCCCCCCCCCCCCCTATGA